AAACAGCCTCTGACTTGGGATGAGTTACCAGGGGAAGTGACGAGGCAGCAGCTGAATCCTGAGTAACACAGCCAAAGCTGGCCATTCCTACAGTTCCCTTGGGTCTCTGGAATGCTACAGAGGAGTCATAAGGGGAGTAGAATGACCACCTTTTCATGTTTGAGCAATGGAGAACCATGGTGCACCTCCATTTGATCCATCCCCTCAGCCTTTCCTGGGTATTTTGGGAGCAGGAGAGAGCCTATGCCAAATTGTGTAGCCCTCAGCCTTTCTAGATGGCACTGCAGCTCATTGGTGAGCAGTAGTTACTTGCTTTAGTTTATGCTGGGGACCACTTTGGCTTTCCAATTAGCCCAGAATGCCTCAGTTGGCCCAAGAGGATGCAAACCCAGCTGCATCCTCCCATCCTTTCTGGAGCTTGCCTTCAGAGCATGTCTGACACACAGAATGCAAGCTGGGTCAAAGTCTCTCTTTCAAGTTGCCACAGAATTTCAGATCCAGGATCCTGATATTTTGTCTCTATCCTAGAAACATTAAGAGATGGTCTTAAATGTTTTAAAGTTAACTGTTCCCAAAATTAACGGAGAGGACCTTTCATGCTTTGGACAGGAGCCTTTGGTGCTTCCCGGCTGGCAGAATTCATAGAATCAGAGAATCTGAATGGTCTGTGTTGGAAAGAGCCTTAAAGATCACTAAGTCCCAACCCTCCTGATGTTGGCAAGAGCACCTTCTGCTATACCAGGCTGCTCACACCCCCCTCCCCTGGCCTTGAACACCTCCAGGGATGGGGCAGCCACAGCTTCTCTGGACAACATCACCACCCTCACAGTAAAGATCTTTTCCTAACATCTAATCCACTCCTACTTTCTTTCCATTCAAAGCCATTCCCCCTTCTCCTGTCATCCATGCCCCTGTAAACACTGTCCCTCCACTTTTCCTGTAGGCACCCCTCAGGCTCTGCAAGGTTGGAATTAGGTCAACCTGAAGCCTTCTCTTTTCCAGGCTGAACAATCCCGATTATCCCAGGGGAAACAGGAAAGATGATCCATCCATTTAATCAACTTAGAGGCCTCCTCTGGACCTGATCCAACAGCTCCATGTCCTTCCTGGGCTGGGGACCCCAGAGATGGACACAGCACTGCAGCGGGGTCCCAGAGCCGAGAGGGAGAATCCCTCCCTCGCTCCTCGGCTGCAGCCCGGGGCTGCGGGAAACACAACATCACTTATTAACTTGGCTCATTAGCATCCCAGTCCCGCGGGACTTCAGGAGTTTGCTGCGGAAGAACCCAAACCAGGGATATCCATGCGGCACAGCTCCCCCGGCGCTGCAGCGCGGCCGGCTGCGACTAGATGTCAGCACTCCACTGGGCAAGCGGCCCCAGCGCAGCGCCGCCGAGCGCCGCAGCATCCCTGCCGAATAAAGGCCATCTGACCTGCCCAGGCTGCCGAATAAAGGCCATCTAACCTGCCCAGCTCTCGTACCAGGGCTGTGCAGGACAGCTGAAAAGCTACAAGTGAACCGAGCTGCTCTTTCGCAATGAAATCCAATACTACGCCAAAAGAAATTAAAAGAAAAAAAAAAATCACCCCGGTGCGGACCTCAAAAAGAGAAGAAAAGGAGGGGGGAAGAAAAAAATCTTCAATCATTTCCTTAAGGCCTTGGACTGTTCCTCCAGATCAAAAGAAAAATCACAGTGCCCACAATCACCTGAACTCTGGCAAGGCAGATGCAGCACGGATAGCTCAGCAAAGCTTTTGTTATTTGGCTTGGTTTTGTCTCGAACGTGATGAGATAACATCGTCTCTCACAAGTGAGTTTTATGAGGATCTGTCAACTCAGTCCCCATCTGTTCTGGAAAAATAAGCCTTTTCAGGTTAGAGTAGGATGTGGATTCAAATCCACAGGGCACAGATTTAAATCAAAGTCTCTGAAGCCCCTTCCAATTGCCAAGTAGTGAGGGGAGGGTTTGCATTTGAGCTTCCCTGACAAGCTGGCTTCTGTTTCAAGCCTTTTATTAACAACTAACACTTAAAGTATATCCAGCAAAGAGGAAAACAAGGAAGAAGCAGTGCAGTGTATGAGAATGCAGTCTATGCAGCACAGGGGAGACAGAGCAGGTAGGAAACAAAGTAGTTTCATTAATTCAGAGGTATTCACTTACAGCTACAAAATGAGAATGAAGTCTGCTAGTAGCAAGCAAGACGCTGCCTAATGTAGAAAATGAGAATCAAAGCATAAAAGTGGTATGATGCAAGAGATCCCAAAGCCGATTTCTTAGAGTGTTCAGAGTTTGTTCTATACAAACTTGTGTGTATAGATCCATAAACTGTCACTGCTACTGAACATCCAACACTTGGAACTGCACCCTGCACTGCACACTATTGAAAACTTTGAAGGAGAGAGAGCTGGGGCATTTTCAACAGCTCCATCCTGAGCTCTGGTCACCAGTGTCACAGCTGGCTGTTAGAGATCTCTGCTCAGAGCTGCCACCCCATTCTGGGAGCTGAGCCCTCAGCTTCACCTCAAAGCCCTTTAAGAAATCAAGAGGCTGTAAGTAGCAGCATTTGCACTGAAATTGCCAAGGTAATACATTGATTTCTTTCAATAATGGTGACATTCATAGTCTTATTTCATCACCCTCCTCAGAATCCTAAATGCTCCACTAATGAAGAAACAGCTGCATCTGCTTGTGCACTGCTACTGTCAGGGATGAAGAAAACAAAACTGGTCTCCTTAGGTATTGTTCACTGTCCTCACATTCAACTATTATATTCTCAGAGAATACCAAAAACTTTTCATTAATCAATTACTAAGAAATTCAGGAGTGATCTGTAATTTCACAGACTGTGCTATATAGGAAGAGGATTCTTGTGATGTCTGCTCTAGTACCTCTCCCAGCCCTGTTTACAGCAAGCATCTGACAGGAGGGGAGCTGGCTGGGTGAGCAATGACTTCCCTCTGCACCAGAAATTCCTGTCCAGTTGGAAAGAGTTAGCAACTGTTATATCTTTTTTTTTTTCTTTCCCCATTTTCATTCCTCATAAAATGATAGCATTTTGCTGAAATTACTGAACATAACAAAGGCAAAGGCAGCCTGACAGCGCTGCCAAAGCAACAGCTGCAGGTACTGGATAGGAAACACCTCTGAACTTTCAAAATGAGCTTTGGTAAGAACATGAGTGTATGAAAGAGGGGAGATCCAGCTTCCCACACCCAGCTCATTCCCAGTCCTGGCATCACATCATTCCCTGGGGGTAGCATCTAACATTGGAGTTTTCCAGCTCACACTGCCCTCTGAAATACATTCTCTCCCAAAAGTGAACAAAACACCAAGCCCCTCTCTCTTTTCTTCCAAGAGAAAGTGAGGGAAATAATCCTGAAGTTCTGGATGCTGTGCTGTGCTGGCTCCAGCTCGATGTTTGAAGCCCTGCTCTGATGGAAGATGACTGTGTCAGTCTCAGCCAGACTCACCACGTACAGAAATAACCTCAGCAGGAAGTGGAAACTACCCTGGTCTAGTCAATGGGTTTCTGCAAAAACTGTGATGTCAGAGCAGCAGCACATGCATTTTTTGGGGCTGGCTAGGGTTAGCAGTGTGTGACACCAGAGCTGTTTCACAGTCCAGACAGGCTTTCCCCAGTGCAATTAGGTGCCAGTGCTGTCCTGACATTTGAGACTGCAGCTCTGCTCCTCTTCTGTAAGTCTGAGCATCAGGGAGTGTCCAGGACTGGAAACAGGCTCACAGCCACTCCTGGGACAAAGAAAAGCTGTTGGTGTGGGGTGCTGGGAGTGCCTTTTGGTTTCAAAGGAAGAGCAGCAGTGAAAGAAGGGTGGATAAGAAGTAGAGGGATAAAGAAAGATGGAGAAAGAGAGGGGTCTCCAGACATCAAACTGCTTGCTGCTCTTTGAAGCCTTTGCAATCGGTTGAAGTTTTCCATGGACATATCCTGGCCCTTTAGCAAGATCAGATTGCCTCAGGACAAGATGTTTGTAAGGAAAAAGCTGGCTAGATACCCGTGCCTCTTCTCCCAAAAATAACAGCTTGACAGAAAATTTGAATCTAAGAGCAGTTGTAGGTATCATGATACTTCTTTTTTACCTGTCCTGAAAGATTCAGGTGGTATCACACATCACTAGCCCCATATTTTCCATCCCATGTTCTGACATGCTGCCTGCATTAGCATTGTCTTTCATACTTATAACATCTTTTACAGCAGAGCTCCCCATGGGGGAAAGAAATCTTTGAAGCTTCCCATTCAAATCTTCAAAGAAGGACCTTGAAGAGCACTCAGAGAGAGTGTGGGAAAGTCTGGAACAGGGATAATGCTATAAAGCTGACTGTCCCCTTTGTCCATCCATAATTGTACCACTCTTGTGCTCCCACTTTTTGCACTTCCCTAAAACTCCCTGAGTGCTGAAGAAAGTTTATCCATTCTTCTATCCTGTTGGGAACATCTACCAGTTTCTTCACAAAGTTGTGACCAGAAATAACGCATAAACCTGCAATACAGATTGCAGCCTTAACCCTGGCAGCGAGGAGATTGCACTGGGGGTGCTGGGCGTCTGCACCTCCAGCAGCATGCACTTTTTGGGCACGTTTGTTCAAGCCAAATGCCAAACCTTTGCTAGCACACACCATTCTTGGAATTTTGCAAGCCAAATGCCAAACCTTTGCTAGTGGTATGTAACAAAAGTCCCTAGAAAATGCCAAGTTATGCTTCTAAAGAATGTGGTAAAATCTGGTCGATTTTAGTTGCGGAATCACACTATTTGGAGAAATAAATCACTCAAGACATAAAAGGAGACAATTTTTCTTTCATTTCCTCTGTGACATATTCCCCAACGCAGCCATTAAGTCACTACCTTCTACAGGAAATTCTGTGGTAAAACCAGAAAGATTCCATCAAAACTGACGAAACAAAACCGTGTGCATGTCCTGTGGCTGCTCACTGCCGAGCCTGACTGCGAGCAGTGAGCTGCTCCCTGCACTCTGGATTGAATGGAAACTGCTGAGTTCTATTACGTTTATTACTTAGCCCAGGATTATCTGCAGTATGTGCTCCAGGAATCACACCTCGGACCAGCCCAGACCAGGGTTGCTCATGTCTTGAGAACCATGGCATCCTCTCTGCAAGACCAAACCGAGGAGGCTCTCAGGCCACTCCTGGACAGGATTGACATCACCTCTGTAGCTGTTGCCAAGAGAATTTTCAATGGAGTCATGGATGAAAAGTTTGCTGATGGAAATACTAACTGGGGACGAATTATGACCATATTTACATTTGGAGGTCTTCTCACCAAGAAGCTTCAAGAGCATGGGGTTCAGCTGACTGCAGAGGAGAAGGAGCAGATCTCTTATTTCATCACAGAGTACATCATAAACAACAAAGCCGAATGGATTGATGCGAATGGTGGCTGGGTGAGTTTCTCATTTTCCACCAAAATCTACATTAGCAGATTTCATTAATTATTGCTACAGACACTGTCTAAACCATTTTATTCAGGGTTTCATTTGGTGGCTTAATATTTGGTGTCTGGAATGTCTCACTGAGACTCAGAGTGAGAGCTTTGCTTCTGCTTTAAACAGAAGAGTGATAAAAGACAACTTTATTTTTAAAAGGCACTTGCCAATTTTGAATGACAGGATCATATCGTAATCCAGGTTGAGAATGACCTTGGAAAATCATTTGGTCCAGCGTCCCACTCAAAGCAGGTTAAACCACACATACCCTGAAATTTCCATTATTAAATCTAAAATTAAGTGATATCCTAAGGTCAGCGCAGCAATTTTGCTTTCATAGAGAAGTTGGTCCAAAAATACTTAAGTTCAATGTAAGGAAAGAATACACAGTTGTGATCCTCACAAATGAAGTCAGCACTTTTGTTGTGGATTTCAACAAAGCCATTATTTAATCCACCAAATCAGTTTTACTTACAACAAATATACTGGTAAGTACAACTGGCATTAAATCTTTTCTGTTTGGACTGAGATAATCCTAGAACTTTCATCTATGAATGGTCAATGCTGAGGAAAATACTTGCTACTAAGTGGACTGTTTTGCCAAGCTGCTGAAATTCCCATTCTGCCAGTGAAGGGAAATATCCTTTCACTCTGCAAAGTTTCATCCCACCAATACTTTTTTTTTTTTTTTTTTTTTTTTTGCAGCTGGGGGAATTTGAGCATTAATGACACCAGTGTCAGTTATTTCCTTGGTACTTTTCTCCTTTCCTTATATGTAAATGTTACTTTTTCTTTCCACCCCCTCTCATCCCACTTCTCTCATATTTCCTTCTACTTTTCCCCCCTGATTTATTTTCTAGTGTCTTGCTTTTCCTTTTTTCCCCCTTTCTGCTTGTTTTAATCCTTCTCTGTCTGTAGTAGCAAAAAAAGGTGATAGCAGCTCTTGGCTCCTTGATACATTGGATTTATTATAGAAGATTATCTTTCCATCTCCTTCAAATAGAGTCAATTTTATTTTAGAGAAGTATCAACTCCTGGCAACACTCTGTCATAATAGGTGGCTCATCATAGTAGAATAAGGAAGCTTAAAGGAAGATATTTCTGGGTGTATTACTACATCAGAAACATAGTACTTGTACCTTCCTGGAAGATGTGGGCTCAGATGATAGAGGTCATGTTTGTTTTCTATTTACACAGGGAGGGCATAGCCTTGACTTGGAGATGAAACAAGCATTCAGCAAGGTGCAGCTATTTTAAGTTGCTATTTTTAAAGAGCTATTCATCTTTTGGAGGTAGAGCTCTGAAAAGCTGTCCCTCACTGCACAGTGCAGCAGCACTGTTAGATTAATCTGACACAGAGAGTGGTGTGGTTTCCCTACATGCTGGTTTTCAGCTGTCCCTAACTGGGCGTGTTCTTTTCCACAGGAAAATGGCTTCCTAACAAAGTTTGAAAGAAGATCACTACTGTCCTTCTCCAAAATTACAGCCCTGTTCATAGCTGTTGTTTCCTTGTTCAGAGAGTACTACTGAAGTAAAAGGATCTGCCATTCATGTGTAATCTAGATATTGCCACAAACTTCACTTCTCAGCCTTCCTCCAAGCAATATCAACAAGAGAATAATTTCCTTCCATAATTTGTTTTTAATTTATTTGTATTTATTTTGACTAAATACAATGATTAATATGCTATCCTAATTACCAAATCTGAAGACGAGATCCTTCCACAGGGGAACCTGCACAACATCATGCAGCAATTCAAGTCCACCTTTCCAGGCAGGATTGCTTCGAGACCATTTTCCACATCCAGACAGCTCTTGGAATCTCTCTTGCATCTCCATGAAAGGACATTGTTTCAGTGAAATACAATCCAATGGGTTAAGAAACAAGTTTTTATGTCATTTGTTTTGTAAATGAAATACTACTGTAATGCATTTTATTGCAACCTCTGTATAAGAAAAAGGCCGGGGGGGGGGGGGGGGGGGTGGATTTTTGTGAAGAAAAAAGAAATGGGAACTCCAGTATAGAAATGGGTAGAAGTTACTGACACAGACTAAGCAATTTCTATGGCAAGAACTGTTTGTGGAAGCTAGCAACTTAAAAATGTGCACTCACTTACTGTTATAGCAATGGTATGTGTTTCTGTGCTGTATTTTTTAATAGCTCACATCTACAATGAATGTTCTTTCATATTTGTGTGATGTAGTCATCTGGCTGAATGTTTTTTAAACTAGATGTTTAAAAATAGGCAAGTAAAAATATGTTTAAATGAGAAATTTGTGTAAATACACTAATATTTTAAGAAAATACATTAAAATATGTATTTTAAAGCCTTAAGATTGGTCTCATTTTTTCCAGAAAAATTGGAGCATGGGAAAAGATTTGTCTGAGCAAGATAATCTTAGCAGAGTTATCAAAATGCTGCTGGAAAATCTAAGTAGTTTATGGATTTGACCTGAGATCCATGGATGTCAAGATTTTCATTTTCTGTAGTACTTTTTAGGTACTATCTGGTAGCTTGCATAAGATACAGATATCTTGTGGCAAAATAAATAAACTGGATCAGCTCTGATGACAGTAATCAGTGTTTTGGGATACATCATAAAACTCAGCAAATTCATAGAACTTCCAGGCTTTTACAGTCTGGGGGAATTCATGTTTTTACTCAAATTCCTTTTGCTTTCTAAGCCTAAACAGCAGTTGTTCAAGAATTCATTCTAGAAGGGTTTTCTTCAGCTGTAGTGATTTTCCATTAGGGAACTAAGGCTGGTTCTAAACACCCTTCTTCTTTTTTTAGACATGCTGAGAGGTGAACCCAACTGAGCCAGCAGCTGCCTGTGGCACACAACACCTCTGTTCTCTGAGACAGATCCTCTAGAAAATCCAGCTTTGTGACACTGAGAGAACAAATCAGCCTCTTCTGTAATGGGCTCTCATCTTTCATCTCAACATGAGACACTTTTTTTTCAGTAAGAGCAATTTTTTACAGGAACAACCTGTCCAGGGATGTGGTAGAGCTCCCTTCCCTGGCAGTTTTCAGGGTACAACTGAACAGGACACTAGGTAGTTTCATCTAGGCTCCCTTTTCCAGGAAATGTTGGACCACATGAGCTTTCCATGTCCCTTCCAGCCTGGGTTGTTCTGTGATTCCATGGTCTAACTTGGTGGGTTTAATCATAGAACACAAACAGATGTTAATGTTTGTTAGAGCATGTATTTCTTTTTCTCCTTCCCCAGTGAAAACAAGAAATATTATTTAGCATGCAGGCAGAATTTGTAAGATAAACTTTGTTGGTGTTGAAGAAAAGATGTCAGCGTTCAAAGGGCAGGGGGCAGCTAAAGGAAAATGCCCACCTCCAGAACACCTATGGCAGCACCTGTCAGAAATGACATTTTGGAACATGTTATGACATATGTCTTTATAGGCAATCTAAGTCTTCATGGTAAGAACAGTAATTCTTACTCAGTTCCTTTTTGAGCACTACTGCAAGCCACACATTATAGTGGCTAACACCAATCTATTAATACCACCTCCACTTCCTTTTACACTGATCTAGTAACCTATTTTATACTCAGAAGTACGATTTTTTAGTTAAATATAAAAGGTAACTGTGTCTTTTCAAAATGTAGGTGATACAGTAATTTTAGAACTTGTCTTTGTGGTAAGGGCAGGGTTTAAACAAAAGAAGCCTGGATGGATCATTAGCAGTCCAGTGGGCTCCAGGTTAACTTCACTGGGAGAAAACCTCTTTTTTTCAGTGCAGAGCAAGAAAAGCAGCAATGAGATGCACCACCCCAATTCTAAGCATAATAAAGTGTCTGAAAACAGCAGGGCTGTTAGCTAAGTTTTATAAAATAATGTCCATGTAACTGTCATGAAGTTATCCATCCATGACACTGAGTAGTGCCCTGGTCCTGGGGCACTGCTGTTTGAGGGATCCTTGGATCTGCCAGGGGAGAACCACGTGCTGCTTCTAGAGCAAAAGGTGAGGCCAAAGAGCTGCCCAGTGGGACAGCTGATGGCTTCATCCATGCACACAGCAGCTAAACTGAGATGTCACCAAAAGCCACACAGAAGAGATTCATGAAAACAGCTGTTCTCCTATAGAAATGTCTATTTCTGCAATTAAAATCACAGAATCAATTGGACTGGACAAAACCTCTGACATCATTGAGTCCAACCTTTGGCTGGTCACCACCTTGTCAACTGGACCACGGCACTAAGTACCACATCCATTCATTTCTTGAGCACTTCCAGGGATGGTGACTCCACCACCTGCCCGGGAGGTTAAAGGTGTGTTGGACCCAGAGGCCTGCCTTGGGACGAGGCTGGCACATCTTCCCTGTGGGCACAGCTCCCGGGCTGGGCACAGCTCCTGGGCCGGACACAGCTTCTAGGCTGGACACAGTTCCTAGGCTGGACATAGCTCCTGGGCCAGACACAGTTCCCAGGCTGGGCACAGCTCCTGGGCCAGACAGAGCTCCCAGGCCGGACACAGCTCCCTGTCTGGACACAGCTCCTGGGCCAGACACAGCTCCCGGGCCGGGCACAGCTCCCAGGCCGGGCACAGCTCCTGGGCCGGACACAGTTCCTGGGCCGGGCACAGCTCCTGAGCCGGACACAGCTCCCGGACCAGACACAGTTCCTGGGCCGGACACAGCTCCCTGTCTGGACACAGCTCCTGGGCCGGGCACAGCTCCTGGGCTGGACACAGCTCCTGAGCCAGACACAGCTCCCGGGCCGGGCACAGCTCCTGGCCCGGACACAGCTCCTGGGCTGGACACAGTTCCCGGGCTGGGCACAGCTCCTGGGCTGGACACAGCTCCTGGCCCGGACACAGTTCCCGGGCCGGGCACAGCTCCTGGGCCGGACACCGGTGCCCACCTGAGCCACGGGCACGGGGCTGGCTGCCACGGGGATATGAACCTGCTTGGCAGACGGAGCTAGAGCATCCCGCCGAAATGTACTTTCCTTTCCTGCTGCGAAATTAGAGAAGGGGAAATTCACTGCGATCTGCGCCAGGGGAGGGGAAAAAAAAAAAAAAAAGGAAAAAAACCCCCACCACGCTGGTGTTGGCAGGGGCCCTGCAGCACGCCGGGGCTGGTGCCACCCGGGCTCGGAGCGGCTCGGAGCGGGCGGTGCCGGGCCGCCCCCGCGGCCCTGCCCGGCTCCGCCGCGGGCCCGCCCGGCGCACTCGCGCATGGAGCGGGCCGGGCACGGCGGCGCGATGGCGGCGGCGCTGAGGGCGGCCAAGCGGCAGCTGCGGGCGGAGCTGCGGCAGCGCCTGCGGGCGCTCGGCGCGGCCGAGAAGCAGCGCCAGTCCCGCCTGCTCGGGCGCAAGGTGGGTGCGGACACCCGGGCACGGCCAGGGCTGGGCCCGGCTCGCCGGGAAGCACGGCCGGGACTTTCCAGGCCCTGCCGGTGATCGAAACCGTGACTCAGGGGCCCTTCCGCCGAGCGGGGGTGAGCTCCGCCTCGGAGCCTTGCCTCGTCTCTTCCTCGGCAGCGCCGGGGAGCGGGGCTGGTGGCGCCGGCGTGACAGGAACTGCTGGTGGCACCGGCTAAAGCTGGGGTGCAGGGGACACTTCATCCCGGAGTGGTGGTCACACATCGCCCTCGTGCTGGGGACGCTTCATCCCGGAGTGGTGATCACACATCGCCCTGGTGCTGGGGACACTTCATCCCAGAGCGGTGATCACACATCACCCTGGTGCTGGGGACACTTCATCCCAGAGCGGTGATCACACATCACCCTGGTGCTGGGGACACTTCATCCCAGAGCGGTGATCACACATCACCCTGGTGCTGGGGACACTTCACCCATGGGTGGTCACACATCGCCCTGGTGCTGGGGACACTTCATCCCAGAGCGGTGATCACACATTACCCTGGTGCTGGGGACACTTCATCCCAGAGCGGTGGTCACACACCACCCTGGTGTTGGGGACACTTCACCCATGGGTGGTCACACACCACCCTGGTGCTGGGGACACTTCATCCCAGAGCGGTGGTCACACACCACCCTGGTGCTGGGGACACTTCACCCGTGGGGCGCTGGTCTCACTTCACCCGTGGATTTTGGGGACAATGGGAGCAGACTGCCACACACCCCAAGCAGGGCTCCTCGGGGGCGGTGGCAGGTGTTTATCTGAGACATTTCACACCAGCCTGGCTCTGGTCATACATACAAAACCCAGCCACTGCCTGATTTGGCCTCTTGTTTTATGTTCTGTCATCTCCCTTCTGTATCTTCCAGCGGTGTTTCTTCCACACAATTTTATTTCTAATATAATTTTCACACTCTAAAAGATATCAAGCAGGGTTTGCCTAACTGGTATCCTAGCACAGAGTGATATGGGTATGTACTTTTGAAATGTCCTGTTTGTGTTTGGATTACACAGTTTTTATATAGATGTATTTTATCATTTTAATAAACATAATAAAATTTTATTTTGCAGTCACTGCATGTAATAGAACACAGTCCTCATTTTTTTTTGCAGCACCAGCGGGTACTTCTAGATGATCTACATTTATATGGTTATTTTCCTGCCAGAGGCTCTCAAATCATTTTATAGACTTCATTTACTACTAATGTGTAGCCACTTCATGAGTGGGATGTGGCAGCACAGAAACTTTAAGTTGTAGGAAGTTTTAACTGGAATTTACATAACCCTTTTTTTCCTTGGGAATGCTTTTTAAGAACATATCTGTATGTAGTGTGCTGCTCTCATGATAATGCATTTTAGTAATCATACATCCTAGACTTAAATATCTTGAATTTTAGCAAATACTGGTATGCATGCCCTTCAAAAATTCAGAGTCCTCAGCCAACTTTTAAGCACCTAGCCCATGTAGTACTGAATTTTTAGGACCCTCAGCCTTTGTCTAACTGCTGCTGA